GTAGGCCTTGGCCATGTCGAGTTTGAGGGTTGTCCACCCCAACACTCCGCCGGATTTCCGTCTTAAATAGTGTTCTACCTCTCCTGCCACGATTATATTGTTAGTTAAGAGCCTATCTGGGACAAAGGCGCTTTGAGACATAGAAACCACACTCTGTAGCACTTCTTTAAGTCTATTAGCAAGCATTTTGGCCAGCACCTTGTATGCAACGTTGCATAAAGCAATCGGCCGAAGATCGGAGACTTTCTCAAGTATCTTCTTTTTTGGAATCAGGACTATATTGGACTCGTTGAGTCCTTGTGGCAGGCATCTGCTAGTTATACATGGCGTAATAAAGATAAACAAATCATGACCCAATATGGGCCAGAAATGCTGAAAGAAAGCAGGTGTCATACCATCTGGTCCAGGTACTTCCTCCGGTGCCATTGAGAAGAGTGCAGATTTGACTTCCGCCAGCGTGAAAGGCATCATAAGCGCAGCATTCATGTCCAACGTTTCGCGACCAGGTATTCGCCCAAAGATGTCCATGTCAGAGCTTGTTGTCCGAAAAATGTCATTATAGTACTGTAGTATTTCGGCTTTCATCGTCTCCCCCTCTACCCAAGCTCCATTCACGTTTTTGATCTGTTTCAAATAATTGCGTCTTCGGCGTGCTGATGCCGATTTATGAAAATATTTAGTGTTCATGTCGCCGTGTTGAAGCCACAGTTGTTTCGATCGTTGCTTCCAGAATATCTCCTCTTGCCGCATTATAGTCAATAACTCCCCTTCGACCGTCAAATATTCATTAACAGCCTGTTGGTCTCGAGCATCCCTGAGAACTTCCAATCTGTTTCGTAGCTTTTTGGCTTGCGTTCCAAACTGATTGTAATAATCCTTCCCCCATCGACTTAGTTGGCGTCCACAGGTGAAAATACGTTGTTGAAAATCCTCGCCACTGGATTGACGCCATACCTGTTCCACAACCTTACCGCAACCTTCATCAAGGATCCAAGGTGCTGATTCGAATTTAAATGCTCTCCGCCCGCCCCGAATATTCTGTCTCTCCAGGTTGAGGAAAATTGCATTGTGATCGGACGTGAATGTCAATAAATTCTCGACTTCTGCGTCCTCAAAAATATTCGACCACTCCGCCGACGCCACTGCTCTATCGAGCCGTTCCTCGACCCACGCCTCGGTTCCACGTCCCCGCTCCCACGTGAAGCGACTGCCCGACATACCAAGATCCATGAGTTGATAATCCTCCAACGCGTCATTAAACCCCTCAATAAGAGCCGTTGATTGTGAATGTGGCCCTCGCTTCTCTAACTGGCAAGCAATATCGTTGAAGTCGCCAATTACAACCCAAGGAAGTTGAGACCGAGTCTTAAGTTCACGTAAGAAATCCCATGATAAGTGTCATTTAGTCTGATCCGGATTTCCATAGAATCCAGTTATCCGCCATTCCGATTTTCCTGGTAGTGTAACCACGGCATCTATGTGACTTTCCGAGTAGCTAAGAATCGAAACCATATCCTTGTCTCGCCAAAACAGCGCTAACCCCCCCCCCCCCCCCCCCCATGCCTATTCTATCCACCGGGAGAAGACCTTCAAAACCCATCCGTAACCTTATTTTTTCCATATGACTGGCAATAGCTTTTGTTTCAATTAGAATAACCAAACTGGGTCGCTTTCTGGAGATAAATCCCAGAAGTTCATGAACTATCCGGTCGCTACCCACCCCCCGGCAGTTCCAACACAAAGTGCTCATTGGGCAGGGCGAGTCTGTAAGATCAGACCCGCCGAAGATGAGTTTTTTGGGTTCTCAACCATGATAACATCAATTCCCTCCGTACTACCCGCCCTACGCCTCTTCAAATCACCTTGCAATCCAACACTCTCCTGCACTGCCACCTCTTCGCTCGGTGATGCAACCTGTCCGCCAACTGCTGATGATGGCGCAGCTTGCGGCAATTCTGCCAGTAGCCATTTTGCACCTATCGGACGAACTTGGCGTCTTTGCCCAGCTCTCATCCAAGGCCCATAGGGGAACGTCTCTGGTTCCAGCCCTTCTTCGTACACCCGCTTGCAAAACTTATCGGAGTGACCCAGAATCCCACAGCAGAAGCAAAAAATTCCAAGCCGCTCATATTTAAAACTTACCCAATGAGTCGATCCATCCTTGCGGCACAGTTTCATCCGCCTTTTCAACGGGGCATTGACATCCATTCGCACCCTGATACGAAGAAAACTCCTCCAAGTTCCTCCGAAATTGTTCGGGTCAGCAGTGAGAAATACCCCGATGTAATCACCTATGCACTTGATGAAGTCGGATGAGGCATACACAGTGGGCAGATCGTGGATTTGCACCCAGAAGGATGAGTTGTTGAGCGGAATTTCTTCAGGATTCCCGCCGGCAGGAACCGTCTCGCATACGAACATGTGATTCTCAAAGTTCCAAGGGCCATCCTCCATCACACGAACCATGTCCTTCGAATGCGGAAACTGGAACACGAACAGATTGTCCTCGATCGGTTGGACTCGCATCCCCATCACCGGGCGCCAGACCGAAGCCATCACTTGTTGCATGTGTTCATGCTTGATCGGCCGATCCGTTAGGAATCGCCCGACGATCTCATAATGGGTGATCGGAACCGGCGAACCCTGAATGTCCGGGGCCTCCAGACCATTCTCCTCCTCTGTCGTTAGTGACAAAATCGCGCACCCATCCTCAATCGCGTTGATATCCATTGCCTCAGATTGATGTTGCCGAAAGTAATCACCTAATCGATCCCGAAAGCGATGATCGCTTAACGTCACCAGATCGTATAGGATCGCGACCCTCAAGAACAAAACTTTTGAGCAAAACTTAATGTGCGTCATTTTAACACTTAATGTGCGTTGTTATAACACTTAAGGTGCGTTGTTCCAATACTTATGGTGCGTCATGTTTCTTCTTCGCTCACCATTCTTTGTGAGTCGCGGGTAGTTCAGACCCTCAAGAAGAACAAAACTTTTGAACTGAGGGGTGGTTCAGACCCTCAAGAACAAAACTTTTGAACAAAACTTAATGTGCGTCATTTTAACACTTAATGTGCGTTGTTATAACACTTAAGGTGCGTTGTTCTAATACTTAAGGTGCGTCATGTTTCTTCTTCGCTCACCATTCTCTGTGAGTCACGGGTAGTTCAGACCCTCAAGAAGAACAAAACTTTTGAACTAAGGGGTGGTTCAAACCCTCAAGAAGAACAAAACTTTTGAACTGAGGGGTGGTTAAAACCCTCAAGAAGAACAAAACTTTTTAACTGAGGGGTGGTTCAAACCCTCAAGAAGAATAAAACTTTTGAACTGATGGGTGGTTCAGACCCTTAAAGAAGAACAAAACTTTTGAACAGAGGGGTGGTTCAGACCCTCAAGAACAAAACTTTTGAGCAAAACTTAATGTGCGTCATTTTAACACTTAATGTGCGTTGTTATAACACTTAAGGTGCGTTGTTCCAATACTTAAGGTGCGTCATGTTTCTTCTTCGCTCACCATTCTCTGTGAGTCGCGGGTAGTTCAGACCCTCAAGAAGAACAAAACTTTTGAACTGAGGGGTGGTTCAGACCCTCAAGAACAAAACTTTTGAACAAAACTTAATGTGCGTCATTTTAACACATAAGGTGCGTTGTTATAACACCTAAGGTGCGTTGTTCTAATACTTAAGATGTGTGTTTCTATCACTTAATGTGCGCCATTTTTAGCTCCTTTCTTCCAGACACGCGATTTTTTCATTTTTTTTTTAATTTTCATTGATTTGAGCCGTCAACCGTACAACTGCACAGAAAATTTTTACCGCACCTGAACCCTTCTATATATATATATATATATATATATATATATATATATATATATATATATATATATATATATATATTTAAACGAGTCTATCATAAGGATCCACTTATGATACCTGTTGTTATTGAGACTTTTGTTATGTTTTATTTTAGTATCTTTTGTTTAAACTTACTTATATAAGTATTGTTGAGTCTTAATTAAGTTCTATGCTTGAGTGCTAATTATATTGTATTGTTATGGAGATGTTGTTACTATTCTATTGAGAATCTATTATCCTATATGAAACATTATACTATAATTTGAGTACTTTGTTATGGTTATGATGTCTTAAAGTGTTGTGTATTATTTTGGAAACCTATTTTACAGTGGAGTGGTTATTTATACTTGTTAGGTACTTAAGAGTCTGTATTGTTGCCTTTAAGAAAATTATATCTTTGAAATTACATCAATAAAAAAAGACTCTTTTAAAAATAAATGAAGAATTAAAGACATTATGATCAAGCGACATAAAGTGGACAAATTATATTGTGCACCACGCCGCATATAGCAATGTGCGTCCAGGTACAAAACATGCGCGTTTCATGGTGACGTCATGTTGACCTCACTCCGTCCATCTGAACAGAGCAAATCTCATTATGGATATTCGGTTAAAATTTTATGTGTATTGTATTATGAGTTTATGTGTATTCAGTTATGAGTTTATGTGTATTATGTTAACCAAATCCCATTATGTGTATTCAGTTAAAAGTTTATGTGTATTGTGTTATGAATTTATGTGAATTCAGTTAAGAATTTATGTGTATTCAGTTAAGAGTTTATGTGTATTATGTTATGAGTTTATGTGTATTATATTATAGTTTATGTGTATTATGTTAAGAGTTTATGTATATTATGTATTATGTTAGATTATGTGTATTCTGTTATGAGTTTATGTGTATTCTGTTATAAGTTTATGTGCATTCAAAACAGAGATTTTTTTTTTTAACAACTTAACAAAACGACGTCGTTTTGAGAGGCGCGGGACGCATATTGTTGTGCGCGCCGTGGTGCAGGGTATAACGATTGCATAAAATGACTTTCCTAGCGGGAGGTCATGCTTTCGAGCTCTGGTGGACATGGTTAATAGTATTTAAAAAAAAAAAAAAAAAAAAAAAAAAAAAAAAAAGATATCCATCATTAGCATGGATAAGCTCTGCCAAGGCGCCAAGCCAAACAGAGCCTAAGACCATAGTGGCGCGCCCATCTGTTTTTGGCCACAGCCGCCCAGGCCATTGGCCCCTTCAAGCGACGACCTCGCCGCCCTCAAGCTCCTCACCGGCGACGGACTCAGGACGTCACACGTCAGACTGTCAGAGTACTGCCCACCATCTCCCTCCTTGTTTTATTTTCTTCTGTGAATCCCTAGAATTTTTTGATGTAAATATTTAACTTATGGCTGTGGTTGCTTTAACTATGTAGTTTATCTCAGTATATCCGCCAATTCACCATCCTCATTCCTCGACAAGACGCCGTTGCCGCTTGCCAGCCCCGCCTCGCCGTCCGGCTGAATCATAAGGTAATTATTGTTAGGAGAGAAGATAATGACAAATCTTCGTTAGTTTTTTTTTTTTTTTTTTTTTTTTTTTTTTTTTTTTTTTTGTTAAATGTTAAAGTTTGAACTTTGAAGTCATCTATTAAGTATGAACATTGCCAGTATTAGTGCCTAAGATTATTTATTTATTTATTTATTTTGTTTTGTCTATAATGTGGGGAAATTAAATAATCATATTTATTGATTTTAAAATTTCAATATGAAGGCTTTAAAGTATATGTTTTCATAACTCTTGGAATTTGTTTGAATGCTTCATCTTGTTAATATATGCCTAGAAAATGCTTTTCTTCCTTCATCTAACTTAAATTTGTTGTCCTTTTTGGGCTATACTTTAATGCTAAAATACCAGGATTGGGGCTTACATATTCTGGATAGTTCTTAATTTTCTTTTACCTTTTCTGCTACTACTATGTCCATTGTTCTACTGATTACTATTTGTGGAAATAATCTGCTACTTGTATTGAAAGTGGGGAAATTTGGGCGAAACTGGGTGATGAATTAAGCCTACTTTCTTCAAGTTTCAGATATTGCTAAGCTAGCTGCAACTCTGGCCTGGACTTTATCTGAATGCTTAATGCGCAGCTTGCAAATTTTACAGTATAATTCTTTTGTAGTTTGTGTGTGTGTGTGTGTGTTTGATTGACACATAAAGTTTTTTTTTTTTTTTTTAACCTTAGCTTGTTCTGTTGTTCCAAGGAAATCCAGAAAAAAAAAAAAAAAAAAAAAAAAAAGAAAAGAGAGAAGTAACCTCCTAACCTGTCACAGTGTCACCAGGTTGAAAGAAATTGGAGAATGGAATCATACTCTAATGCAAGCTGATTTGTTAGATTGGGAAAGGCAAGTCTAAAATGCTAATGAAACCATACTCAATGCTAAAATGCTTACCAATGATAAGCTTATTGGTAAAGGCAAGATTACATGTTCATATATATGTTAATTCTTTTAGCATGTTATGAACATATAACATGCTAAAGAAATTTGCAGCTGACGAGAGGGATATACATACAATCTCCACTACCTGTCTCTCAATTCCAATTCTATAATGCTCCCCACAGTCTCAACCACAGTTAAGCTCAACCTCCCCTTTATCTCCACCAATGTTCTTCTTGTTACTACTCCTACTCTATATCCGAGCTCCCGCCCCAGCCGCCTGCTGGTCTCCTCCTCCTCCGCCGAAATTATTGGCTCTCCGGAACATCCCGGCGGCAAGATGGTGGCGGAGCTGGTAGGGGCCTTCAACCATCTCACCCATAGGATGAACACCGCTGCCTTGTCCACCAGCTCCTCCCACTTACTCTTCAAGACTCTCAAGCTCTCCATCCCGCTTCTTCAATCCCTCCCTCTTTCCCCAGATGGCCGTTCTCCTCTTTCCAAGGCGTTGTCCCTTGCGCTCATCCTTGCTGATCTGCAGGTTCTCTCTCTCTCTCTCTCTCTCTCTATATATATATATATATATATATATATATATATATATATATATATATATATATATATATATATATATATTGTTTCAGCAACCTTTACGATCACTTTTGTTTTTGTTATATGCCCCCTCAAATAGAAAAAATAAAAAAAATTCTTTCCGTCTACTTGTTTTAACAGATGGATGCAGAGGTTATCTCTACGGGCATTCTGCGACAAGTCCTAGAAGCAGGTGCTATCTCCATTTATGAGGTGAAGGGTAGGATTGGTACCACCACTGCTCATTTGTTACATGAAAGCTTGCGTGTTAACAACATTTCTTCCAAAGTGCAATTCCTTGACAATGACAACTCCACTGCATTGAGGAAATTTTGCCTTACATACTATGATGTCAGGGCTTTGATTTTAGACTTGGCTCTTAAGCTAGATACAATGCGGCATCTTGGTTACCTTCCCAGGTACAAACAACAAATGCTTTCTCTAGAGGTGATGAAGATACATGCTCCTTTAGCACATGCCATTGGAATGAACCTTTTGTCTGTGGAACTGGAAGATCTTTCTTTCCAGTATTTGTTTCCTTATTCTTATCTTTATCTGGATGCTTGGTTGAGGAGCCATGAGACAGGAAGCAAACCCCTGATAGATGTTTACAAGGAACAGTTGCTCAACTCCCTTACATCTGATGCTATCTTAGCAGAAATGGTTGATAACATCTCTGTTGAGGGCCGGTACAAAAGTCGATATAGTGCCATGAAGAAACTTCTGAGGGATGGCCGTAAACTGGAAGAGGTAAACGATATATTAGGGTTGAGGGTCATATTGAGCCCTGCATCTGGCAAAAATGAGTCAGAAGTTGGGGTAAAGGCTTGCTACAGGACACGTGAAATTGTTCAATCATTGTGGCAAGAAATACCTAGTAGGTCAAAAGACTATATTGCCAAGCCGAAGGCCAATGGCTACAAGAGCTTACACATGGCTGTTGATATAAGTGAAAAAAATGGCCATAATAGACCACTGATGGAAATTCAAATACGCACATCATATATGGACATGCTTGCAGCTGGTGGAACAGCATCTCATGCATTATACAAGGGTGGTCTTACTGATCCAGAAGAGGTACAAATGAATCTTTGCCCTTTGTTTTGGAATATTTCTGTGCAGTGAATGCATAACAACCCTTATATACAAGTTGAAGTAACTCTAAGATGGTTTTGCAAAGTAGTTGTTCCACTCTGGAGGTTCTGGGAATCTTGCGTTTTGTCTAGTTTTCCATTGTTTGTAGAGATGTAGAGTGGTGGTATTGAGATGTGCACAATATGTAAGTTTTGTCAACCTTTTTATCAACTTGGTAAATTTTTGTCATGGGGTTTGGGGCTGGGCAAAGCATAATATTTATGGCCTCCAACCTTTTCTTCACTTCAATTAGCTGAATTTATTATCATGCATGCATTCTTGATAATAAATAATGATATAATGATATGCGGCCTTTTCTTTAACGTGCTTACACTGGTTAAGAAAACTAATGTGGTGTCTTTATATGTATGCAGGCAAGACGGTTGAAGGCAATTATGATGGCTGCAGCAGAACTTGCAGCTCTGCGTCTTAAAGATCTCCCCTCAACAAATCCTAAAGATCTTGACGTTGACAATAGAGACATGGCGTTTCACCTTCTTGACAAAAATGGAGATGGAAAAATCAGCATTGAAGAACTTATGGAAGTGATGGAAGAGCTTGGTGCTCAAGGCGAAGATGCTCGAGAGATGATGCAGCTCCTTGATTCAAATAATGATGGTTTACTGAGTTCAGATGAATTCGATTTATTCCAAAAGCAGGTATGTATATGGTATAGGTAATACATGACCCTATGTTTGACTCACCCTTAGGCCTTAGCTTGTCTCTCATAAATTCAAGAGTGAAATAAAATACACGTAGAGCCTTGACTGACCTAACACATGCTCCAAGAACATGATCCTAGTGCATGCATGACTAGTAACTCAGACCAATTTCATCATTTTCAAAACATGAAAGTTGTCCATCTTTCTCTTAGCATCTTGAAGCATTTCAATCCAACTCCATATGAGCCAAAATACTAGAACATGTTCAATTTGTCAAATGCCGCAAAAAGTAAATCTTGACCCAAGAAGAATCCATCATCCCAATATAAGAATATTAACCATGTTGGGTTGGCACATGTCCTTATCAGATTGATGATCATGACTCTGAACTTGTATGCTCATGTGTTTCCCATTACTATCGTGTATTATCTAATTAACCTTCATGTTCTTATATTTCTGAAATTAAAGTAATGGTTTGTATTAGTCTAATAGTCTGCAGTTTTGTACCACAAGTTGCATAGGGCAATAGGTAATAAACTATTGAAATCAGTAGAAATGCAGCGGGAGTAGTTTGGTTCACTAAACACCAATTGCTATTTGCTAGGCCAGTTGATTATTTGTTGTTTTACTGCACCCTCTTATTCCTTTTATTTTATTCTTATCCACTCAAACTTGATGCCATGCTGCACTTAGTCTTTATTTATTTATTTATTTATTTTTCTCTAAAGCATCTTTAGAAGGTTTTGTGTAATTTTATTTCTAAGTTACCTAACTTTTGCTGATACTTACTTGATGTTCTTTCTGTAGATTGAATTCATGCGGGATTTGGAATATAGAGACAATCACTACAAAACCCTGTTAAATGAGAAGCTTCAAATCACAAATATCAATGTTTGAATTTAGGAAATCAGTAAAATTGATGGTCATCAAATTTGGACTTGAGTTGACTGAAACCACAAAAGATTTTAAACTTATAATAATGTATATATAGATTCCTTTGTCTACATTTCTACAAGATCTACATACGTAATTCCATTTTAAAGCTTCCGTAACCCGTATTATTCTAATTTTTCACTGTAATTACTTGTGCATATGCTTTACAGCGTGATTGGTTCATGGAATAATATTATTTAAAAATTTTATGTAATAATAATAATAATAATATATATTTTGTATAAAGGTATTTATGTCTTTTAAACATATATTTCATTTCTATTTCTTGCACTAACTAAATATTATAATAACATTCTTAAAGTCTATTCTTTACGTATTTCTATTTTTTAAAAATTCATTTTGTGAATTAAACGTGTAATTATAGTGTCAGACGAGCGGGTTTGGGCTGGTAGACTTGTTATCTAGACATTACGGCCCAACAGATCTATTAGCCCAGCAAGCATAAATGTTTTTTCGTGCTGGCCTACTAACTAAATCCAAGCCACACAGCCCATTCCACCAAGCACTCCAATTTAGCTTATACCGTACCAAATTAGAGCGCAAATTATGCTGTGCAACCGAATGCACCTTGCAAGGTGCATACGGTTGCAAAACAGCGCCGTTTTGGTTAAAAAAACGCGCGTCCCACTTAAAGAAGAAATCAGGTTCGATTCCCGGCAATAGCATTTTTATATATCCACAATTTCATAACTATATATCCACAATTTCATAACTATATATCCACAGTGAATGAATGAAGTAAAAATCCACAATGAATGAATGAATGAAGTAAAAATCCACAATGAATGAATGAATGAAGTAAAAATCCACAATGAATGAACTAAATATCCACAATATATGATTGAACTAAATATCCACAATGAATGAACTAAATATCCATAATTTCATAACTATATAACCACAATTTCATAACTATATATTCATAATTTCATAACTATATATCCACAGTGAATGAATGAAGTAAAAATCCACAATGAATGAATGAATGAAGTAAAAATCCACAATGAATGAATGAATGAAGTAAAAATCCACAATGAATGAACTAAATATCAACAATATATGATTGAACTAAATATCCACAATGAATGAACTAAATATCCATAATTTCATAACTATATAACCACAATTTCATAACTATATATCCACAATTTCATAACTATATATCCACAATAATGCTATTACTGAGAGTCGAACCTGATTTTTTTTTTTAAGTGGGACGCGCGTTTTTAATCAAAACGACGTCGTTTTGAACCGTATGCACCATGCGCATGGTACATTCGGTTGCACAGCATAACTATTGAAATTAGAGACCCACCATAGCTTTATTTTTTTGGAGTGTTTAGTGATCTAATTGTATTTTTTTTTTTTCGTTCAGTGGCCTAATTACATTTTCATATTACATTCAGTGGTCAATTTGAATTTTATTCCTATATTTATTTATAGTTTTAAAAGTCCTATTTAAGGGAGATATTTATTTATCAAAATTTTGATCCAAAAGTCTAGTTTTTAACTCAAATTTGATTTCAAAATGAACCCAACCTATTTTTGAAATTCTGTATTGTATTTATACCCGGACATGATCCAACTTTTGACTCAAAATTATAACACGAGATTTTAACCCGTGAAATTCCCCTTCTACCCTTCCTAGCCGTGTAAACAATTCAGCCCTAGGGTTTTGTGCCCTTTTTTATAAGCTTCATGTTGCCTGACTTGCCTCCTCCACTCTTTCCATATTTCCTTCTTTTTCCTCTAAGAAAAATCAGAGATTCAAGCTAGCAAATAGAGCAAGTCTAGTAAGCTTCTTCCTTCTTCATCTTTCCATCTTTCTTCTTCTTTCCTTTTCCTGCTACTGAACGTATGTTTGTGCTTGTGTATGTATGTTTGTGTTGTTTGATTGGAGTCTTAGAAGATGGTGAAGGAGAAGAACTAACTTGAGGATAGAGATGGAAGGACTCTTGAGGTTGAAAAGCTTAAGGTATAACCCATGAATGCCCAAAAATAATATTTTAGCCCTAAGTTATGTGAATAATATTGTGTATCTGTAATTTGTAAATGATGTGTGGTGCTTGTAAATAGAGATATATGTGTTGTTTTGTACCTATAATGTTGTGATAATGATGTTTTGATGCTATATTGTGTTGTTGGGTGAGTTTGGAGGAGATTCCACCATGGAAACATCTCAGACAGAGCTCAAAAGAGCTACTGCCTCGTCAAGCAGTTTTGCCTGGTAGAACTAGCCACGGAACTAGACAGTTTCGCCAGAACAAAGGGCTCAAAGTGGCGGACTCCATGGAATTCCACCACTCTGTGCTGTGGCGTTGCGGAAGGCAGTGGCGGAACTCCCCAGTTCCGCCAATAAGCTCCGCACAACCATGGATTTGGCACAGGGCCTCTGTGGCTCAGCTTCGAGGCCTGGTTTGTTTCGGTCCGTGACTCGTGGACCCGCGTGGCTCGTGAAACTCGGGAGTGTGACGACTCGTTTATATGAAATGTTCCTATATGTTATGTGAATAAAATCCATTTTCAACCCAAACATGAAATATGATTTTACTAAGTGTTATTTGAATACATTGGATTCATGAAAGCTTAGTATGTGTTGACCCTAGTATTGAATCATGAATTGATGAAGGATTTGTTTAAGTGCACAACTTGTCTTGAATAGTTGCATTAAAGAGTGAGTTGGCATGACTACATGATCATTTATGCATGAGTTACTATCCCTCTACTTCCCCATACCCAAACCTATGTTTTTAAATACTTAAAACTATGTAACCATTTTCGAGGGGCCTATGCTAATGCCCTAAAACCCTTTTGAAATCTATATATGTATATACCTCTTTGAAAAGTATATAAATATATAATCCACATTTAGGAAAAGAAAGGTTTTCAAAAGTCTATGCCACCGTAATTTTCTTTTGTGAGGAAAACTTATATTTTTGGAGGATATGTCTGGACTACAGTCCCTTCGGGAGAGATGACGGAAAGAAATGATGAAATGAGACCTGGTGGAACACTCTCAGAAATATAAAATGATGAGACCCGGTGGAACACTCCTGAAAATATAAAATGATGAGACCCAGTGGAACACTCCCGGAAATATGATTGAAGTAGCTTGGTAGAAAAATCCTGGGCTACTAGGTTGGATACTACCCGCTGGGCTTGGAATCCCGGTCAGGAGTGTGCGCACTGAAAGTACGATACATGATTCCAAAGAAAGAAAAGAAAGAAAAATTGATATGAGATTTGTGGGCGAGAGGAGATTAGGTCGGCCGATATTCGCCGAGCCTGGATTAGGTTCATCTCACGAATCGTGAAGTTCCTACCTCCCCACGGTATGATATGTTTGAGGTTCCGTAGTTACGGATGTGGCAGTTGTGTGGGAAGCACCGTTCACTAGCCCTTCGCCGCGGCGGAGTGCCTGCCTCCTATGACCCAGATTCTTGAGACAAATGAGGTTAATGGGGTTATGATGATACAGATGAGACTGATGAGATTGTTATGAGATTCCTCCAATAGTACTATTATGTTACTCTATTTTTCTTGAGGGCGAGAGTATTTATTTTAAACAATTTGCATATCTATTTGAGAAACCTTTATTATGATGCATACATTTTCTATATGAAAACAAGAGAAGTATGGTATCTATTCTTTTACCCGAGTTACTTAGCATGAAAGCATTAGTTTACATTACACTCGTTCTTTTTCACTCATGCTATTTATTATGAACCATCCTTGTTTACTTACGTTGAACATTGATATCTAGGTATATGTGTTGCATCGTAAGTACTATTAGTATGTTATAAGCATGAGTATGAATTGTGTGTGTGTGTGTATATATATATATATATATATATATATATATATATATATATATATATATGAGCTATCCATACTTGTAGTTCATTGATTGATTGTTGTACCTCTTATGATCTCATGTGATTTATCTGTGAGGGTCAAACCATTTTTCTAGCCTATTAGTTGGTTATTTCGGCTTTTGGAGCATCGTTCCCATCCTTTGTGTAGGGCATGACGCCCGAGAATTATCCGGGGTTACAGATGGTTTGTAGTATGAGTGTTGGGCCCACTTTGCATTTTAGAGTCTATCTCCTTTACTTTTTAGCCTTAGGCCTTTCTGTTCTAGTAGTATGACTTGTAATATTTGTAACCTTGGTCACTTTTGGGCCTCAGCATGTATTCCCCTTTTCAGTTATTAATAAAAGAACTATCTTTATCAATAATCTAGACTATCTTGGGTATTAGAACAACTTGGATAGAGTGCGTTCTCAACATGCATTAGAACAACTTGAAAAGGGTTATAAGGAAAACATAGAAAAATAACCGGTTAGCACATAATGTTAAGTATAAGCCATTCAACCATGTAACATAAATATAGATATAGATTTTAAGAAAAAATGGTTTTTTTTTTTTAAACAAAACTTTATTAAGCAAAGGAATTAAAATGTCTTACAACTGATGGTCCAAAAATGACCATAACACATACTCAGCCATTGAGATTGGACCTATACTAATATAAAGAAACTAAAATAAAGGATGGACCCAAGCCCTAACAGGTCAGGCCTAAAGAATGAAAGAATAAAATAATGGACCCAATCCCAACTAATAGGCTAGATCAAAGGAATATAAATGAAGAACAGCCAACCAATTTCACCAAATACCAACTCAAACAAGATACATATACAAGCAACTGAGACTAAAGGAGCACTCCCGCCTCAGAGTGTATGCTATGCATGAAACAAAAGAATCAAATCCTGCTAAACACACAACCACAAACAGAAGCAGAAAAGGCAAAGAGAGCATAGAGAAGAAAAGAGAAAACCTCCAATACTAGAAAGCCCCCTACGAACTATGCCAGCAAGGCCAACTACTCAACAAGCCTAGCAGAAAGCAAAAATAAAGTCTGAAGTTATAGTGCAAGTCTAAAGCAGTAAAGATAACAAAGGAAAAACAATTGTACAAAAAAGCAAGTAAAGTTGGAAACCTCAGGGTGGGTCCTCAATGTCGAAGAAGACATAAGCACATCATTTGTAGCAAGAAGAGCGCGCACCCTGGGTGGTAGATCGAAGTATGACTGAA